TGCTTTTGTGTTCAAGAGTGGCTATTGAAATTGCTTTTAGACATAGAATTCAAGAAAATTACTTAGTTTCATATAGTAGGATCATATTGCTCTGTGCCGTTTTGACTGGCCTACTGTATCGATCGCAATGCAGCAAGGAAGATATTAGTGGTAGCCGGCGGCGGTATGAACCGCAATATTGTTTATTTTCTAGTTTACGTACGTGTGTACGTTTTCCGGGTATCAGGCCGTGCACGAGATATTCACAGTGAGCAGTGACCGCACGGGATGAACAATAAGTTTGGCCAAGCGATTTGTATGAAGCATCCCACTTTATACAAATGACGTGGCCGTTTTGAGCTAGAGTGTATGTTTTCAACGGAAGGCTGCCAGAGATATGTTAGGGATCAGTTCAAAAAATAAGGTAAATGAAAAGCAAAGTTTGTGAGGTCCTTGAATTTGACTTGTATGGGGATGGCTGTTTTGGAGCTGGAGTTTTCATTTTTATAGTAATGCCACCAAAAAGTTCAGGCCTTCTAGTGATGGCGACTATAATAACACTATTTTGAGTATATATTTATGAGTCTGCTGGTTTGATTTGAAGCAGGATATCGGCATGCTCCATTCAAAAAGAGCGCAAAGATGGAACAAAGTCAGTGATAAATTTGGTAAGTATAGTATAAGATTCGCATTTTTGTGTTTCTTTTCTCCATAGAAAATGAACCAAGATGATTAGAGCCTCTGCTTAATAAACCTCAAAATTTAGATCGTATTATTTTACTGTTTAGTGTGAACGTCTGTTTGCCTTTCCTATATCACTGCCTGAAGATGGATGAAAAAAGAAAGTGATGTGCATTATCATAAGGAAATGTTATCCAACATCGACATACCCCCAGCTCAAAAAGTAAAATCAGAAAAGGCTTCCAAAGTAGTTTAGTGGAACACTACTTTTGGCGCTTTGTGCTGAATTTTACTCAGGGATCTAACTAATACCACATAATTGATAACCCAGGAGCTGCACTCAGGTAAATATAATCCATATTTAGATGTGCCCACTGTATTATATTCCTATCGTCATTCGACCTGAATTGTGTTAACTTTACATATAAACATTTTCACAAAAATGTATTATAGCCACACAATTTTGGAACTAAGAAACTTTTTTCTCGAACATTATATGTGAACTGAGTACAAAAAAGCGAAATCAAACAGGTTATCTCAGTATTATCTACTTATTAGTATCTAGCAGTAGTAACAACTTTTCACCCTTTTTACAGACTCTATGGTATCAAAACCGCACTTCCCGAGGAGGGATCTACTGGTAACTGATAACGAACTAGCTCCAGTTCCAGCAATGAGATGTACAGTCTGCGGAAACCAACATTTCGCCAGTGTTGGCCTGAACAGCAAGGTTGAAATCGCTTCAAAATAAACTAATCTCAAAATGCTCTTCCAGGTCCTGTAGAGCAAAGTTTTAACTTTATCTAAGATACTTGGCGAACTGCAAAATTATGATTTTTAACTGACTTTTTAAGGATTGAATCTACCTCATAAAATGGATGTATTCATTACTTAGAAACTCGGACAAAAATTATAATGTTTGAGGTCGCCAAGTATGTAAATTAAGTACAAACCTTGTCTGAGAAGACAGTACCTATCGTTAACATTACACCTACGTACGTGATATATGCTACACACAATCCAACATCCATGGTCGGAGTGAGCTTTCGAGGAGGACATACGAATCCGCGAGCCCCGGGTTCTACCGGTATCTACAATTGTATGTATACTCTTCCCATAAATTACTCTTAGGGCAATCGAATTTTGCCAACTTCTTTATACTTCGCTTGATCAAATGCGGCTCAGATGAATTTCAGCAACACAAAAACCGTAAGTGTTGTATGCGATATACAGGGTGTTTTAGTTTATTGTTGCATAACTTTAAGATTCGATAGAACTTTTAAAATTAATGCATAAAGTCTATATAAACATGGGTCGGAATATGCGTGACTTCCGAAATACAGGGTGTTTAAATTTACTTTCTAAAATCGTTTTTTTTAAATATTTCGAACAATATTTGATGTATATAACAGTGAAAATTGGTATACAAGGGTTTTTTGGTACGACACAACGAACCATGGGCATAGTTTTACTGTAGCCGAAATTTGTTTCTTAGTGCAATTTTTTGCTTTTTGAATAAAAAAACTGATTCACGTAGCTTCTTGTAAAATATCTTAATTCTGAATGCTACGGCATTTTTACAAACACAGAAAGAACGATATGTATACACCAAACTGGTACAATGAATGACTGAATCAGGCAAATGCCGTAACGAAGTTAATGTGGTTGTCACGGTATTTGACTGAAATTGCTCAGTCATTACAGGGAATAACTGAAATGGTTAGTCAAACCTTGTAATAATCAAACTGTTACGGTGTTTGCCGGCAATACGGGGACTGACTAGGCATTTCAGAATAACGGATTTCAGCGTTTGAAGCCGACATATATATGCAACCATAGAAGGCAAGCCTGGTTCCAGAATCTGCGAACAACCTATATTTCTACTATGGTTCGAAACAGCCAGAAAGTAAATCAAATAACTAATTGTCGCGTTTTTTAGGTGTTGACTCTAATGAACATCTTCACTACGTAAAAAAATAATCAACAACTCCTCAAAACCTTCAAAATATTTTCCCTTTCCACTTGTTCCCACACCTTTATTGCTGGAAGCATTTAACGTATTCAGTCATTGCCACCGCAGTACCTTTGTGTCAAAGTTTTATTAAAATCCGAACGTTTCGAATAGAGGACGTAGCTTTTTGCAGAGCTATTTTCAAGGTCCTTGTTTAGACTGAAAACAGTCATCCACATACAGAACCTGTTCAATTCATGATGTAACGTTCATTGCACAGGTTAACTCAGCATACAGCGCTGGAAATACAATTCGGCCCTGTACCGCAGTGTATGTAGCTGTTTCTGGCTTCCAGCGAAGTTGCGAGTGTAGTCTATACCCCTATTCGTAGTCCATTAGGCCCCGGCAGAGCGGCAACCGACTAAGCGTTGCAATACCTATTGGTCATTCGGCCATGAAACTACGAACAAGTGCCGGATTCGCCAGGATAGAACTCAGGCTCGGGGTATCGCCGGCACGCCGACGCAAGGAGTTGCTGTTCATATTCGATACATACCTAGCGTGTTATACGTTAGCATGTCGTCTACGCATACTGCAGATGAAACAGAATATTTCTCCCAATGCTTACTTAAGCCATGTTTCCTCTTCAGTGATGTCTCCTCCCCGAAAATGTGACAAGAAGGTACATTTTAATATTCAGACAAAAGAAATTGTCCTTAACGTTTATAAGAGCCAAATTTTAGAGCATCCTGAAATGAAAATTCATGATATCGAAAGACGTGTGTCGAACAAATTAGGCCTATATCCTAAGACAATTTTCAACATTGTTAACGAATGTAAAAAAATAGTAAATTGTCTCACCACACAAGAAGCTGCATTACACAAAGCTGTTGGATACAGTTGATAACTTTAATCGGAGTGCCATCAGACGCAAAATCCATCAATTTTTTGAATGGCAGGAATTTTCCCATCATACACAAAGTATTACAGAAGGTTATTAGTGATGAAGACTTACCCACTTTCAAAGGACTACATTCTATAGTTTACTCAAAGAACTTAATTTGGAGTATAGAAAACGGGGAAGAAATAGTATTTTGACGGACAGCCAAAAGATTACTTTATGGAGAAGAAATTGCTTAAGATAAATAAAAAACAACGCGACAGGGCAGGAAGATTTATTACTTGGATTAAATCTGGATAAATGCAGGACATACAAAACCTAAATTGGGCTGATTCTACAAATCAGCAAGAAAAGCCTTCTTAGATGGACTAACCACTGGCCTAAAGAATCCGTCAGGTACGTGTATCTAACCAATTCTTCATTTGTGTTGTAAAAATTGTGTCAAGTAGATTGAATTTATGAGCCCAAGCTGAAAACTTAGCTACACTAAACCTAACTATATCTGATATATTTGGAACCAACACATGCTTGTATTATTATTAGTTTTCTTGAATACTATATGGAATAATTATTTCCAGGAAAAGGAAAACGATTTGTTATCTGACACATTGGCAGTGAAGAGGGCCCTATGGGCATTTTAGTCAAAGAAAACGACCGACTACCATGAAGAAATGGACGGGAGCTCATTTGAACGATGGTTTGAAGGAGCGCGCCCAAAGCTTGACGACAATGCCGTCTTTGTACTTGATAATGCTGCATACCACAATATCCACAAGAAAAGCAAAAATTCAACAATGGCTCCTATCAAAAAACATTGTTGACATTTGGTCAAAACAGAACTTATCCATCTAGTCAGGCAGCACAAATATAAATATAATCTTAATGTTATTGACGAAATGGCTAAAAACCAAAGTATGCCCGTTTTAAGGCTACCTCTTTATCACTGCGAATTAAATCCCATTGAAATGATTTGGACAATTATAAAAAACTATGTGGCTTTTAACAATAGAACATTTGTTTTTTGAAGCTGTCAACAGAGTGACGGCAAACCATTGGAAAGGCTGCATCCATCACATTGAAGAGACAATCGAAATAAAGATGTGGGATCTGGACAATAAGATCGACATCCAAATTGAGCCTGTACTAATTAATATTAACCATTCGGACGATGATTCAAGTACTTCCAGCGAATAAAGACTTTCTATAAAAACAATTATTTATTTTGCTAGATTATTAGACTGAGGACAATACGGACCTGTACAATCTCGCCTTTGGACATGTTGTGTTTTGTCTGGCCGTAAATGGACTACGAATGGGGCATCGTAGTACATACCTTAATACGATTATGTGACATTACAAATCACTGCTGCATCTCTGCCGTGCTACACTTTCAAATATATATAACATAACCACTTGGAGCAAAATGCTGCATAATATGAGGTATTTTAGAAACAAAATAAGACCACGTATGTATACTCACGATGAGCCTGACAGAGAACTCGAAGGTAAACCATGCATTGCACAGATGATCTATCGTATGAAAATAAGGATGGGGCTCAGTGCAGTTGTCCTCCGGTGCTTTGGCACTTCTGCAAGCCACCCTCATTCCAGGGTGAGTTTTCAGGCAGAAGGAAAACACAGACACGCAGATGAAGAACACCGATGCGCCGGCGACTATCTGGAACAAAGAAGGATTTTCCGATAGGGTTGTGCAGTCTGCGTAAATGAAAAGCCATAAATACTGTTCAGGGTCTTGTATGGAAAGGTTTGAACTTCAATTTAAATATTTGGCAACCTGAAATGTTACCATTTACCTTACGGTTTTTAGTCGCTTGCAACGGGAAAACGGTCATCTTTGAAGAAAGGTTCCTTATGACCTTATTATTCAGAATTATCTGCAAAACCTCAAAAAAATATTAAAAAAATGTTGGTACCGGGTTATCGCCCGGAAACCTGTTGATTCATGTCAAGGGAAATTAACAAACAAATATCAAAAAACGCGACTATGGAAAAACAAGTTGAACAATTTTTAACACCCATTCGAGTTTTTCTCCACGTTTAATATCCCAGCGTGTATCCATAAATGATTGCGGGATATCGTGAAAGTCATTAGTTTCTAGTAACTGTAGCTGACAAGAAAATTCAACAAATTTTCATAATATTAACTTCTAAAGTTACAAATCACGTTATACGACATGACATTAGTAGATCAAATATTCCCAAAGATGAAGAAGTGTTATTGAACAGTACATTATACGATTGTTCTAGTTGCATCATTTTGATTGAAGAGAGTTACGATCACTTGAAATAATCTAGGGTCTGGTCGATCACTAGGGATCTTAAACTATCTTAAAAGCTACGGCAACCTGGAACTTACATTACGAAGAACTTCTCCATTATCCCGCCTCCGTTGATAGTCGCTGGTATAATCGAATTGGCAGGGGTACACCTTATTCTGAGCAATGATTTATTGCTTCGCAGTTCTTCATGATCATATCTAGATTATCGTGAAGTTAAGCTTCCCTAGCGAAAATAATGAAAGTGGACCAATCGCATAATCTAGAAGTCAATAACGCTCCTTCACAATTGAGATTAATTGATACTTGTATCATAATTGATATCCAGTGATAATTTTTGAACAAATTCTGAGATATTAGTCGAGACGCAATATTTTTTTATAATCACGTTTGTGCCCCTTAACATGTACCAAGAGTTTGTCGTGCGGCAACTAAGTGCAAATCTGTTTTAACGTTGTTTCTAACAATCTACAAAAGCTTCTGAACAAATGATCTCTTTGGTAACGTTTCTCTAGATTCGACTGTTTTCGAGTTATACAGCGAAAAATATGCATTTTCAATGCTTAAAAACTAGGTTGTAAATAATTGTTTTTGATGATTCCACATGTCTAGTTCAAAGTTTAATCCATTCCTTGTAAATCCCGAAAGAGTATTTTAAGTTTAGTTTATTTTATATCAATTTGTAACCTTGCTTTTTTATTGTTAGGTTAACAAACGACAAATTTTGATTTTTTCAGATTGTGCATGATGCGAGGAAGCTGTTATAGTCCAACGACAATGTGCATGCTTTAATGAGCTCTGGGAAGCGAAAGTGTGCATACCTTCCGAAATTCATTCTTGGATATTTGAAGATTCAGCGACGTAAAAGATAAACTTAGTTTCCCAATGTACAAGATTTGTTCGAAATAGGCCCATGCCCCAATGGATTAGTGTTCTCAAATTACCTGTCATGAGAATCTCTCACAAGAAATTCGTAGAGTGCCATATTGGCGAAAATGACGTTTGCTGCAAATGATCAATGAGGATGATTGAATCAGCAAAGAAGGATCTAGGCACAGAATCTGTAACTCAGCGTCAAGCATACTCCGTACAGGTTCCGACTTATCGTTCTATTCGAATTTTCGAACAATCTATATTTCTACTATGGCCCGAAATAGCCAGATGTAGAAAAACGTCAAAAAACAAATGTTCGGATCATTTAGGTGTTGACTCCATGAACTTCTGTACTAAGTAAAAAAATAATAATCAGCAGCTCAGAAGAAAGGTGTTCTGTCATTGTCACAACAGTACCATTACGTCAAAATTATGTTAGAATTCGCTGATGTTATTCCCTGGGCCTTGATCTTACTCAAAACAGTTATCTACATGCAGAACCTGCTAAATTCATTATATAAGCAACCACTTAAAGGACGAATAATGCACAGGTCAACGCAGCTAGCAGCGCTGAAAACAAACTCCGACCCTATACCGCTGTATCTGTTGCTGATTCTGACTGGACGAGCGTGTGGATAGCTCGGGTTATACAGGGTGACGGGAGGAAAATGGATGCGTATCCGGTGGGGGGAGATAGTACAAGAGAATCTGAGTCGATTTTACTATAGGAACTATTGTCCGAAAATTAGCCGATTTCGAATTATACTAATTTTTAAGAGTTCATAAAATTAACGTCTTTATACGTTAGCCAAGTCATAAAACTTGAAAATTGGGTGTTTCATTTGATTTCTTCTGGTTTCACAATAAAAATATTCTAAAATACGAAAATTGATACTCAAATGTACATTATTGATGTCATCTCATGCGGTAAGCTTCAAAATAGTTCAATTTTTGTTAAAAAAATCTTCGTTCATTCCAAATACTCAATTTTCTAGAAACAACCACCTACAAATTTTTCGTGCAAAACAATTTTAAAATGTCTACGTTTCATTACCTTTCAAATGAGGTATCAAAGTCACAAACCGATTTAGAAATGACAAAGATATGAGTGAAAGAAACAGGTAGAGCCGGGAACATCGGACTTTGCCACCGGAATAGTGTGATAAGTAAGACTAGTCACCCACTCTCTCCCACGCTTCAATCTGCTCTTGGGATTTGTTGCGTTCGGATGTGTTTATTTTCTCGCTGTTTTCATATTTCTAACGACTTGGCTCTTGTTGGACTTCCGTGTTTGAATCTTTTCCTGACGTCCTAGAATGTACCCTGTTTTCTGTGATTCCTTACGTCTCGGCTGCTGTGAGACTTGATTGTTCGTTGATCTTCCTATCCCTGAACAATGACTGATGAACAAAGGAGGCGGCCGTTCAGTTTAGAGGAATATGCCGATATCATTTTCTACTATGGAGGTGCCAGAGGCAATGCTGAAGAAGCTTGTCGTGAGTATGGGGAAATGTTTCCTAATCGTCGCCTACACGACCGTGTATTTAAGCAAACTTTCCGTCGGGTTCGAGAGCGCGGTACCGTCGTAAGATATCAAGGTAAGTTTGCATCATTGATAATTATTATCTCATCATAATCAGTCATTCAGTACGCCTATGTAGAGCCTTGGAGGTCTTTGGGCTGAACTGATGATACTGAAACATAGTTGTTTTGATACAGTTGATTGAACTTCTTAGTTAAGAGTTTATTCATTTAATTTTAACACGAGCATCTACACGGCACTGAAGATGGAAACATCCACATGTTGTGTATCGTTTTTATTTAAATAATATTTTGCCAACTATAGTTCATATTCTGACCGCTATGTTTACTAGATAACAATTTTCTCCAAAAAACTGTTGTTGTTTGTTTTTCATTTTATTTCAGGTGATGCAGGTAGACCTCGACATGATGTGGAAGAAGAAGAAGAAATATTTTCCAAAGAGACCCTACTATCTCTACTCGCGCTGTGGCTCGGCGGCTTGGGTTATCTCAATGGCAACTGTGGTATGTTTTGCATGAAAATATATTCCACCCTTACCACTACACACCTGTGCACGTCATAGAGGAAGGAGATCCCATGAGGCGCATGCAATTTTGTCGTTTTATTTTAAACGCTGATGTTGAAGATAGCAATTACTTAAGAAAAATTCTGTGAACCGACGAATCAAAATTTGATAAAGACGGCATAACAATCCACCATAACGCTCACTATTGGCGTGAACGTGCAGTGGGTAATCCTCATATGAAGAGACCAAAAGGATCTCAAAGGCGATTTTGTCTAAATGTGTAGGTGGGCATTATAAATAACTGTTTGGTAGGACCACATTTCCTACCCGTCAACTTAAATGGAGAAGCCTACGAAAATTTCTTAAAAAATTTTCCATTTGAATTACTTGAAGACGTGCCGCTGCACACAAGACACAGAATGATTTTTCAGCATGACGGGTGGCCAGCACATTTAAGACTAACTAAGTGTTAGAAATTGGTTAAATGAGCAGTTTCCGAATCGATGGATCGGTAGAGGCGGACCAATCCCATGGCCAGCACGCACTCCTGATCTCACACCTATAGACTTTTTTGTGTGGAGTCGGATGAAAACTTTAGAATACTGTGATCAAAATAATGTACCCACAATTGAAGACCTCAGAAACAGTATAATACATGCAGTACAAGAAATTCAAGTCTATCTTAGGATTTCGGGAGTAAAATCGGGAGTAAAATCAGCTGTCATAGGAAGAGCACGTGAGTGCATTTTAAATAGAGGGCGCCATATTGAAAATGTATTATAAAAATAAAAAAATGTAGTTTCCAACATATTATCCTGTATTAAGGTATGATTTTGTAAGCGTAGTGTTATTATTGATTTTTCCTTCCTCCTTTTATAATAGTCATATTTTTGCCAATCCTTAATCGATTTGTGATTTTTACACCTCATTTAAAAGGTAATGAAATGTTTTCTAATTATTTTGTACGAAAAATTTATATGCGACTTTTTCTAGTAAACTGAAGCTTTTGAGATGAACAAAGATTTTTTTAACATAAATTGAACTATTTTGAAGCTTACTGCATGAGATAACGTCAATAATGTACATTTGAGTATCAATTTTCGTATTTTAGAACACCCAAGTTTTATGACTTGGTTAAGGTATAAAGGACGTTATTTTTATAAAATCTTAAGAATTAGTATAATTCGAAAACGGCTAATTTTCGGACAGTAGCTCCTATAATAAAATCGACTCAGATTGGCTTGTACCATATCCTGCCACTGGCTCCGCATCTATTTTCCCGTCACCCTGAATTGGTGCTCTCTGTGCTAAAACCCCTGCAGGTCTGCATGCGCGTAAAATCCACTCAACTGACAAATATTAGCCAAAGTTATTCTACTGGCCCTACACCACTATCTAAAATAATGCAAACGATACACTGCGCATAGGGTTGAGGGACTCAAAGGGGTCCTAAAGTATAC